CTGCGCAGCCCGCCTCGCCGGCATACTGCCGTTTAAGCAAAGCCCAAGTGCCACCATTTAAGCAAAGCGCAAGTGCCAGTGGGCAGCTGCAAGGCTTCATGACGCATCTCCCAACGTATTGAACTTTGCAGGTCTAGTAGCAAGTGGCGAGCATCTCACAGTGGTTCAGGGTGCAGTCACCCGTTCCGGTGAACCTCGCGCTGGGTAGCTCCAGCACTGGCAATATGGCTTTTCGGCTCACAACATCATCGTGTGTGGAACTTTGCAGGTTTAGTAGCAAGTGGTGAGCATCTCACCATAATTCAAAATCCGGTCGCCGGCTGCGTTTCGCGCCCAGGCCAATGCAGTGAGGGGGGGTGTTGAGCCCCAAAGGGGCAAACTGCCTTTGAGTGCTTCGCGTGCAAGGGCAAAAGGGTAAGGGTCGTGAGCAGCTGTAGCTTTGAACATGTGCGTGCAACGTAGTCTGCGTAGGGTTCTTGGCAAAAGTATGCACCATGTTGATTTGCCAAGTGTTCGGAAGAGTTGAGTCGACAAAGCAGTGCTACCCGGGCTCACTGCTCCTCAAACATGGACAGCTTGAAGACGGATTCGAGAGAAATCGAGACAAGCGAGCAACAAACTTTTGCGCACAGCAAAAACTGCAGGAATCAATGCGTGTTCTGTTTCAAGTCGTGCCGTGCTGCTGCGCCATGTCTTTGCCACTGTTAGTCGCGGTTTCCTTGCTCGGCACGGCAAATGGCCAATCGAAGCGGCCACCGCCGGCAAACAGTGCTTCAGCGGCATGGGAAGCCCAGCATGTCTGGTGTAGGGCCTATTCTCCATATCGATGCTGCTTGTTCTCCTCCTTCAAAGCTGCTGTGGCGCGAGTGGACATCAGTGCTAATTCCCCACATCACAGTGGGGTTTGTGTTTTCTTTGTCGCCAACCCGCTGCTCCTCCTCCTTCTGCCCACCCTGATCGTCATCACCACCCTGATCACCATCACCATCACCACCGTCACCATCACCATACCACCATCACCACGGTCACCATCACCATTACCATCACCACTCCACCATCACCATCATCCTCCTCCTCATGCCTACACAGACAGACACGCGCACACATAACACACAACATACACATAACACACAACACAGAGACCCAAACAACCGCTGGAAGCCTCTAAACGCCACTTGGGGATGACTGTAGAGGGCTCTGGGGGATTCGGCGCGCGCTCAGCCCCCTCTGGAAAACTCTAAATGCCACTTAAATACAACACGCACAGCTCACACAACACACACACACACACACACACACACACACACACACACACACAACACACGCACAACACAAGACACAACACGCAGCACACAGCACGCAGCACGCAGCGCACAACACAGCACACACAATACCACGCGCAACACAACACTAAACACGCGCACCCGCACACACAACACGGCGCACATTCCTCTGCAAGGCTCTAAAGGCCTCATCCATTGGTTCCTCACCATCCACAGACATGCTCATTTGGGTTATCCGGTCCTTTAATTTCTTTTGTGTTGTAAATAAAACAGTGAATGCCAAAACAAAGCTGTATTTCGGCCGATGGCGGTAGTTTCTCGCGCCCGTCAGCTTGTTCTAAAGAGTCAAGGGTCTTGCTTGCAACTACACTACAATGCCAGGAACTTTTGTGTCGAAGTACGTTGATGAGGTGATAGACAAGCTTACTGCACGAATGCGCCAGAAAGATCCAGTGATCGCAGACATGTTCGGCAACTGCTTGCCGAACACATTGGACACTACCGTTCTGTTTCACGGTGTGGATCATGAGGGCTTGCCTGACACATTCATCATCACAGGAGATATTCATGCTATGTGGCTTCGAGATTCGACGAACCAGGTGTTGCCTTACATCCGCTTTGTTGACAAAGACCCTGCACTCGATGTGATGTTACAAGGCTTGGTGCGTCGGCACACGAAGTCCGTACTCCTTGATAGCTTCGCGAATGCATTCAACTTTAACGGCTCCAAACCTTCGCCCTGGGCTAGTGACATCAGGTACCCCAACATGACAAATGCAGTCTATGAAGGCAAGTACGAGATGGACTCCCTGGCAGCGTTTCTGAAGCTTTCAAGGTCCTATTGGCAGCATTCTAACAACTCCTCGATCTTTGACGAGAGGTGGCAGAGGGCTGTCAAGAAGGTGGTTTCAACGATACAAGTCATGCAAAGAGGCATCGACGAGTACGCGAGCAATCCGCCTTACAAGTTTCAGAGAGAATCTCGGCGGCGTTGAGTTTGTCTGTTTGTTCATTTCGTGGCTGGAAGTGGCCAGTACCAGTATCTGACAGCTTGCTGAAGGGGGGGGGACAAAGCATGCTGTCAGGACACCTACGCCCCAACTGACACGCTGATCCTAGAGGGCCTTGGCCCTCCAGGTGCCTCCTGTGGCTTGAGCCGCTCACCGTTTCGGCCCTCCGACGATGCCACTCTGCTTCCCTTTCTGGTGCCAGCAAATGCCATGGCCGCGGTGGAGCTGAAGCACGTCGGGTTGATGCGGCTTGGCAGCCAGTTCCAGGTTAATCTAGGAACCTGATTAAGAAACCCTGGCCCTATAGCCCCAGTATATTAGGGTTCATATTAAGAATCCTAATAAAGAGCCAGGGTTTCTTGATCAGGTTCCTACATTAGCCCGGCCGGGTAAGAAGCCTCCAGAGTTTAAAAAAAGGCCACGAGCCCGAGATCTCCATGAAAGCCGGTTCTTTCTGCAAGTGCTCCGTATTTTTCATCCTTGAGCTCAGAGTCCTTAGTTTTGGTGCTGTGTGTTGCCTTGGCATGGAGGAGTTTCTTCAGTTCTGCTGGATCAACTTGATGTTGCCGCTTTTGATCATGCTTGCTTTGGTCAGAGCATCTCGACATGGTGGCCCTACTCAGGTGTCGCGAGATCGGTTGCGAAGACACCCTGACCGGTTCGTTGGGATCCTTGGCCGAGGAGTTGTCCAGCGCGGTGCACTTGCACGCCTCGTCGGCACAGGGCTTCGCATATGAGGTTGACTGTTACGGAAACAGCGTGGCCGGATTGCCATTAAGAAGGTTTCTCGGATGTTTTGTAGAGACAGCTGCAGTTTATAGATAGTGGGGAAAGCAGCAACCAGGTGTACATGGATGATGCGAACGTACCTTCACTGCTCTCCTTGCCATATCTGGGCTTCGTGGATCCAACGGACCCGCAATACCTAGTCACGCGCCAGAGGGTGCTTTCTGGCAAGAATCCCTATTTCTTCAGCGGCTCGGCGGGTGAGGGCGTGGGAGGGCCCCACGTAGGGTATGGCTACATTTGGCCCATGTCCATCGCCATGAGAGCGCTGACCTCAACGACAGAACTGGAGGTGGAGTGGTGTTTAGACATGCTGAAGGCTACGACAAACTCTACAGGATTCATGCACGAGTCTTTCTGGAAGGACGACGCAGGCAAGTTCACACGGCCCTGGTTTGCATGGGCCAACAGCTTGTTTGGAGAACTGATCTTGATGGTGGCGGATCGATTCCCCGGCTTGATTTTTAACGCCGAGGTGTTGTCGTAAGCTCTCGACGGACATGTCTGTGGACCTATCACAAGATTCAGGTTTGTCAAGGTTCGGGTTTTGATCCTGCAAGCCCTTAACCCTAAACCTTTCCTTTTCTTCTTGGGCAAAACCCCTGCATCCGTGCCTGATCTGAGCTTCTAAAGCCCGAAACCTTGCAGTCCCGTCGGGGCTGAGTTGATCCAGGGAAGTGTGGAACTTTGAACCGCTCTATACCCCAAATCCTGAACCCTAAACCAAAAACCCCTGAACCCTAAACCGTTTAGGGTTCAGGGGTTTAGGGTTTAGGGTTCAGGATTTGGGGTATAGGCCCTAAACCCCTATAACCCTAAACCAGGCAAGTGTGGTTTCATGAGCCTTGCTGAAGTGCAGGTGGCTACAGGTGGCACGAATTTGAAGCCCTGTCCAGAGAGGCCCTGAAGTCTCCTACCTTTAGGGTTTAGGGTTTAGGGTTTAGGGTTTAGGGTTTAGGGTTTAGGGTTTAGGGTTTAGGGGCTCCTACCCCTTAAAGGGGACCCCTTCAAAGGGGCCCTTCTTAACGCTGCTTATGGCTCTCTTAAAGCGGACCTTCTTCATTGGGTCTATATGGGCCCCCCGTATTCCTAACTCCTAAAGTCAGGGATCCGCAGTAGGTCCTCGAAGCCTTTCGGGTTAGGGTTAAGGATCTCGGGTTTAGGATTTCGGGTTTAGGATTTAGGGCTTCAGGGCTTCAGCGTTTAGGGATTAGGGTTTAGGGATTTAGGGCTTCAGGGCTTCAGGGAGAATCCCTGCTGCGTCGTACATATCGTAGAAATCTCATAGAGATCCGCAGGTTCAGTTCGATCACCGGGGCGACCCTTGAACCTTCAACCCTGAGAACGAATCATACCGAGATCCAAGGACATTTTGTCCTTGGTCAAAGGAGCCTTACAGAAGGTCTATATTCCTTATGGAAGCCTTATAGAAGCCCTACATACCCTAAACTCCCCACCTGTGGTTTCCTTTAAGAGATCCTCGTTAGATGAGTTTACACCATTCTCAAGCCACTACTCGCGAGCTGTTTCAGTGCACATGAGACGATTTGCTTTCCTTCTTCAGGCAGTCTTTTGGCACAAAGGGTAGCCGCAGCTTGCTGGATCGCCGATTGCGGATTGCATGTTGAGGGTTTAGAGTTCAGAAGGGATAATGATAAGATCAAGGGCTGAGGGTACTCACTGTTTGAACTGGTCTTGCCAGTATGATTCCTGAACTGTAAACCCTGAACCCTGTCTCCAAAACTGAACCCTTTTAGAAATACAGCGAAAATCGGCTGGGAGGCTTGCAGGTTTGGGCAAGTGTTTCTTTGCGCCTTAAGGGTGTTTCGCAGGGTTGAGGGCTATTTGGGTTTAGGGTTTAGGGTTTACTGTAGGGCACAGCCAGATAACCTAAGCCCTAAACCCTAAACCCTAAACCCTAAGAGGATAACAGCACAGCATGACGCCGCTGCGAGCGTACAGCGCGCTCTTGCCCATGGCCCACCAGGGCCTGGTGGCCAAGGACAGGATTCTTAAGCCTATATGGGTAGTTATCAAAATTAGGGTCCCTTTGGGTTTAGGGTTTAGGGTTTAGGGTTTACTTATGGTACCCTAAATAATAGGTGCCGTATTATAATAAGGACCCAAAAGGGGACCATAATTTTGACAACCACCCATATGTATGGCTCTCTTAAAAGGGACCACATTGAGGGGGGTTTAGGTTTCGGGTTTTGGGGTTTTGGGGTTTAGGGTTTCGGGTTTCGGGTTTAGGGTTTTAGGGTTTTAGGGTTTCGGGTTTTGGGGTTTAGGGTTTAGGGTGACCTATATCCCCAAGGGTCCCCCCCCCCAATCGTAACGCGAAGCATGAGACACCCGAAAAACGAAGCCCTAAACCCTAAACCCTAAACCCTAAACCCTAAACCCTAAACCCTAAACCCTAAACCCTAAACCGTAGCTTTTGGCAGCCCCGAATGTCTGGTACACGGTGATCGCCTAGGCCTGAGTGTTGAAGCATTCAGTCTTTTCTTTTAGCCAGGTTCCGAGGGCAGATTATATCTTAAGGCTTTGGGTTTAGGGTTTAGGGTTTAGGGCTTAGGGTTTAGGGTTTAGGGTTTAAGGTTTAGGGTTTTATTGTTTAGGGCTTCGGGTCAGGATAGCGCTGGCAGCAGCGGCTGCCGCACGAAGCTTTGGAGAGACCAGGAGCCTGTGCACCGTGGCTTGCCATGGCTTAGGCACGAAACCCTAAACCCTAAACCGTACCCTAAACCCTAAACCGTACCCTAAACCCTTAACCCTAGACCCCTAAGCCCTAAACCCTAAACCCTAAACCCCTAAACCCTAAACCTTAAACCCTAAACCCAAAGCCCCAAAAGGGCCTGAACCCAAGAGAACCCTACGCCCGAAACCCTGAGGTTCAGTCAGTTTTTCTGAATCCCTAACTGGGTTGGGGGTTTAGGGATGAGGGTTCAGGGTTTAGGGCTTAGAGTTTGTAGGGTTTAGAGTTTTGGTCTCAAATCCTTTCGGGACGGTGCGCCTCTGAGCCAGGAGCGCGATGCGCACATGCTTCAGCAGCAGCTCGTGTCGGAAGCTTACTTACCCTGGAACGGAACACCTTAGACCTTAAACCCCAAACCCCACCAAAAAACGCAAAACCCCCATCAAAAAAACCTGAAGCCCTTTCGGCCCTTGGCATTTTAGTCAATTTTCCCTCAGCCCAAGCCGCTCGACTAAAGCCCAGAACACTCTGAAGTTCGCCGAAGAGTCTTAAGCTTCCATGCGAAGTTATGGACTGAAGCCCTGAACCTTAAAAACCCAAGACCACTGGACCCAGCCCTCAATCCACAAGGCATAAAGTATGACTGAAAACTTTCTCCCCGAATCCCGCATCCACTGAATCTTGACGACTTAAACCCTTAACTCCAAGACCGAAGCCCAAGGCCTAAGCCTCACGAAGCCAACGCGACGTCATGTAAGCACCAAAGTGTCCATCTTTTCCAGCTTGAATGCCAGAGCCATCATATCGAATCCGAAACCCCAAAGCTTCATCAACCCTGTCCTGAGCAAGATGACTACAAGTCCTGCTAACCTTGAACTCCTGAACAACAGCCCCTGCACTCAAAGCCTTAAGCCTTAAATCTCGATCGCAAACCCTGTATCAACCTTATATCATATACTCTCTATGAGGGCTATATAAGCCCGATATAAGCCCCATGTCGAATGTAAAACCGAAACTTCTTCGCCCAAAGATTTCGATCCTGCGGCAAGGCGCGAGCGCATGGAGAACCAGCGCCACGCACAGGCCGTGCGCACCAAAGACGAGGCTACGGCCCCCCCCCCCCCCGAGTTTCGTGGCCTTCGAGGGTATCCCGCTAAGGTACAGGGTTTAGTGTTAAGTTTAGGATGTAAATGTTGGGTTTTGGGACTTTCTCTTCTTAATCGTCCGATCCATACTGTTGCTCTTATTGTTATCATTATTACTACTACATTATTACTACTAATAGTAGTACTAGTACTCCTCCTGCTGCTG